TCCTATTAGATAAGAAACTTATTAAGTTAATCTAGCATTTCCTTTGTTTTTCTTTTGTTCTTTTCTTCATTTTTTTAATTATGTTTTTATGATGGTTGAGACTAATCATCGATCCCTATAAAATAAAAGACTTGTTTAGGTCGACTTGGATTCTCTAAATATCATAAAAGGAACATTTTTTATGATGATAAAATCGACAAAAAATCATCATCGGTCCTTAGAACATAAGAGACTTTACGATATCTCATTGTATTGAAAATAAATCATAAACAAGTGGCTAACACACTTCGAAATTATAAAAATTAATATATAGATCATGAATCAACACATGATAAAACCCTAAAAATTTCAAATTAGATAACCAAAGGATATTGAGCGTAAAAATTAAATTTTGAAACTGATCACATTAATGATTAAAATTGCAGCATAATGATAGAGAAATTCAAAATAAATAGCAATTGAGATTATAAATTATGAAAATTAAAAAAAAAAAAGACATGGACAAACATATATACAAACCCTAGAAGTTTCAGATTATAATTATAAATAGAACTGGAATTAAAAATAAAATACAAACATAAAGTACATTAATAATTAAGGTAAATGGAAAAATAATAAAAGAAAATATTAAATAAATATAAAATGATCTCACAAAATTATGAAACTTGACCCACGAGCTATGTATAGACATATAAACTTGCCTAAAAAATTCCAGATTAATCAGAAATTAAATGCTAGGGCAAATAATTAAATTTCATATGTGATTTACTACCGATAATTAAAATAAGGCAGAATAATGATTAAATAACAAATAAATGTTAAATGGACCTATAAAATTATGAAACTCTAAATACATACCAATAACTAACACATGAATAAACCCTAAAAATATTAGATTAAAATAAAATCAAACAAGTAAGCAAAATAATTAAATTACATAAATAAACTATACTAAAAAAAAAAAATAGGGCAGAATATTAAATAAATCCAAAATAAATAGTAAATAAACATTTAAAATTATGAAACTTAACCTACAAGGTGAGTACTAATACATAAACAAGCCCTAGACTTTAAGATCAAAATAAAACCAAATAGATGGTTAAATAATTAAATCCCATGAACAAGCAATGATAACAATTAACTAATAAACTAAAGTAAAATGTTTGGTTACCGTAGCTATACTATTTGAAACACTCGTGCATACACTCATATTTTACTATTCACTCTCTCATAGCTCACTGTTATTTTCATTATTCATAAATTTTTTTTATACTTTGATCCGTGATATTGTCGAACTCACATTTCGATCCACATGTTCATTTGCTCATCCATTTTGGTCCTTAGGTGGAGAAAGAAGGTCGAGACGAAGAGAGAGAGAGAGAGAGATTGCCGATCAAGCTCATTTAGGCCACTCGGTACACGAAAATCCACTAGATTTTTTTATCTTTGAGAGATGAGTTTGTCCATGGTGGTTTCAAGCCATTAAACAATTAGAGGAGGTAAATCGAAGCCAAAAAAGGAAGAAAAAAACTCGATTTAATTTTTTATTTTTCTTTATTTTTGTGTGTATTAAAATGATTTTTAAGGTTTTAGATGTATTTATTGACTTTATTTCGGTTTTTTAGAGGTGTTTAGGAAAACAAATGATGCCAAAATTCAATTTTCAGGGATCCGAAAGTTGACCATCGATTTTTCGACAACCTCGGGTTCGTCGGAAGTTGCAAGATTTTTGTTTTTTTTACATGACACGCGGGCTCGCTCGCACGAGGCAATGCCTGGCCTCCCTCGCTTTTTTATTTTTTTTTTTTTTAAATATATTATGTGCAACCTGTCTTGGTTGGCTTGCAACTGTGCGCTTATCTCCCTCGTGTGTGTGTGTGTGTGTATATATATATACATTTTTTACTTTTAAATGAGTTAAATATATACAATAATTTAACTCATTTATATATTTAACTCATTTAAAAAGTAAAAGAAAAATTGTATATATATATATATATATATATATATATATATATATATATGAGAGAGAGAGAGAGAGAGAGAGAGAGAGAGAGAGAGAGAATATCTAATTATATTAATTTTATTGTTTAAATTTATTTTTTCAATTATTTATTTCTTATGAAAATTCACATCAAATTAATTTTTTTATATGATTTTATTTATTAATAAATTTAGTTTTTTAATATATGAATTTTGAACTAAAATTTTAGAACTTCAATTTTTTATTTTTAAAATATATTATTATAATTTATACGATAAATTATGTATGTACGTGCGTGTCTATATTAGGTGTGTGTGTCTTTTTTTCTTTATATATATATATATTTTCTGTACAATTGTTTCAAAAAATTTTAAACTTTAATTGTATTGTGATTTAGCCTATTTGTTTTAATTTTTTTATTATTTAAAATCTATAACTTTAATTTGCCATTTTTTTTAAATTCTCATCTAATTCATTTAAAATTACATTTAATGATAGTTTTCATTTATTTTAATATTATTCATTCTTTTCTCATTTAATTAATTTAAAATTATACAGATCCTTAATTTTTTATATAATTTTTTTTAATTTCAAACTTTAATTGTATTGTGGTTTGATCTCAATTTATTTTATTATTTTTTATTAATTATTTTTATAAAATTTACTACTTTAATTTGTCATTTTTTAAAAATTCTCATCTATTGAATTTCAAATTACGGTAAAAAATTTAAAATATTTTTTTCGCTTTTGATTTCGTATATTTTTATACGTTTACATCATAAAATAGACTATCAAATTAAAATAAAATTTTAAATAATTTTATATATTTTATCTTACCGCAACATAACGTGGGTAAAAAATCTAATATAAAATAAAGCAGAACATAAAATAAATATCAAATAAATAGTAAACAGGCCGAAAAAATTATGAAAAAAATGAGAGAAAGTCGAAACTAACCCTAAGATCAAAATTATATAAATTGTACTCCTAATTAGTGACCCAATAGCACGATTCTCATGAGTTTAAGAATCAAATTTGAAAAAGAGAAAATTAGTATTCTTCTTCCTCAAAACTGGACAGAAATGCAGCCATGGAACCCGAAAATGCACCCTCATTTTGCTAGAGTTCTGGTTGGTTTTAACCTCTACAATTTCACCTCTTCATCAAATAGGTATGACGTCTATCCTAAGATTGTTTTCATTCAATATTTTGGGCCTAGAAAGAGGTTTTTATAGAGAGAAAATAAGCCATGGATGAAATTTTTTTATCTTTTGAAGCTTTTTTTTTTTTTTTGGCTGAAAATGAATGAAAAACTCCACAAGAACGACTTGAGGACCAAATCCTTTCTTTTCCTTGCTTTTGTTTTTTTTCAAAGAGACTCAAGTTCAAAAATTTTCCTTTTTGAAAGTTTTTTTTTTCGAATCCCCCTTTTGCCAGCCTTCATTTCTTCTCTTTATATAGCTTTTTTTTTTTTTTTTTTTTAATTTCATCCTCATCCTCCATTTGAAATGATCCTAACCTTTCATTTTCTTGTTCACCAAGCTCCCCTCCCTTTGTTTTCTTGTTAACCCCTCTTCGTTTTTTTTTTTTTGGTGCAGGTATGGCAGAGGCAGGATTGAAGGGGAAGGACGTTAGGTAGTTTAGAATTTTTGTTTGGGTTTTAGGAAAGTGGAGGGTACAAGGAAATCCGTGAGAGGAGTGAGTGCGTGCGTGTGAAAAAAATGAGAGAAAAACCTGTTTTGGTTAAAAAAATGTGCTGGAGAAAAAAGAAAATGAATAGTGCTTGGTACTTAACATAGGTAGTTGTCAAACTATCTTTTTGGTCCCTGATTTTTTATTTTTTTCAATTATACCCCTTATTTTCAATTCAATTTAACCTATATTGCCTTTCAATTTTAGTCCCTTTTTCATTCAATTTTGTTTCTAATTGTTTTTCAATTTTAATCCAGATTATTTTCAATTTCAGTCCTTATTTATTTCAATTATACCCTTAATTAATTATGCCATGCAAATTTTTGTTTTTTTTTTTGTATTTTCATCTCTTCTCTTTTTTGTTCTTTTTTCTTTTTGCAAGATGAGAGGAAATTGACTATATATTTTTTTGGATGATTTTTTTTGACAAAATGAAGGATGACTTGTAAAAATCCTAAAATTAAAACTGAAGCTAAAAAAGATAAAAATAAAACACGATAAAACAAAAAAATTATAAAACACGATAAAATAAAAACCATAAAAATAAAAAAATTAAATAAAAATGTAATAAAAAATAAATACAATCCAAAATTTAGGTTATAATAGTGTTTATTGCATGTTTATCAAATATTAGCATATAAATGTATTTCTATCAATTAAGGTTCAAATATTTGAAGAGAAAGTGAGAAAAATATTTTTTTTTACAAATGCACTAGTTTTAATATGATTAATATTCAAATAGAAATAAAATTACCATAAAAATGGGTACGTTAATGATTAGAATTCAAATTGTTTAACTAATATAATGGCAAATTCTAAGAAAATGGATTTAATGGTTAATAAGATTTGCTTTATTTTTTGATTTTTTTTAAATTTGAATATTAAAAATAATACCAAAAAACTTCGCATTTAAGATTATTTTAAAAAATAATTTTGATTAACATAAAACTAATTCGAGAACATTTTCCATAGTCCAAAAAATTAAAAAGAAAAAAAAACGATATCAATATATTTGCAATTCTACACTTTGTAACTTGAGGTTGAGGTTCCTTTATGATCCCTTAAGAACCTTCTTGTAATTATTATTTAAAGACAAATTACAGAAAAAGCACTTGATCAAGTAACCTGATAGGGTGGCTTAACCACCACGTGTCTTTCCCCAACTGGATTTCCTAACAGTTCCCACACTACGCCCATTACACCCCACCAAATTTCCTCCCAATCTCTCACTATTCATCATACGGTCTTCACTTTCCTCAAAACAAACCATCCTCTCACTAAAAAATCACACAGATAGAGAACAAGAGCAAAAACAAGAGAAAAAATGACGGAGGCAGTGATAAGGAACAAGCCAGGAATGGCAAGCGTGAAGGACATGCCCATCCTTCAAGATGGCCCTCCTCCTGGTGGTTTCGCTCCCGTCCGATTTGCTCGTAGGATCCCCAACACGGGTCCTAGTGCTATGGCCATCTTTCTCGCTGCTTTTGGTGCCTTTTCTTATGGCATGTACCAAGTCGGACTGGGAAATAAGGCCCGCAGGTAAAAAGGGTTTCCCAAATTTTCGATTTTTTGTGGTTTTGATTGGTTTTGGCATCTGGTTTTTGTTTTGTTTTTGAATTAGAGTTGGAAATTTGAAGGATTTGGATTTTTGTTATGTTAATTGGATTGGATTATTAGATTGAAGATTGTTAGGAATACTTTACTCGGCACTTTAAAATCATCAAAATTAAATAGTTCTGTTTGTGATAATTTTTGGCATCTGGATTTGTTTGGATTGTGAAATTAACACTATAATTTGGCTGATTATTGCGGTTCGTCAAAGTATTGGCATTCTGGGATCGAAATTTTTGTTGTTGACTGGTCACAATTGGGTTTTTGTTGTTTTTAAAGGTGATAGGTAAAAATTGTGATGCCTTGAGTGGACTTATTTTTTGTAGCTGAAAATTTTGTTTATTTCTCAAACAGACATCAGAAATGTTGAGGTACTAAGGAACCGCCAAGTTCATTGACTGAACTTTGTATTTGAATTTTATAACCCTTCACCAGCAAAATGCTCTCCAATATACTACAAATGTGTAGGTTTTACTTTTAACCCAAAAGGCCTTAAAAGAGTTGAGAATAGATTCTTCCTTCTCAAATACTTTTTTCCAGAGTCTGCACTAAAAGTATAGACATGTATGGATTTGCAAGTATAAAAGCCACAGCCTTTCCAGTCATTAATATATTTAGCAGAGGAGCCTTGAAGGTCGATGAATATGGTTTTTAATGAAGAAGTGGATTGCTGTGATAAAGTTGAATTTGGTTTATTTAGCTACAGGGTGCAGGGGTGTGTTATCTTTGATTTTGACGAGGTGAATTTGGTTCATAATTAATTTTACTGGTGATTTGCTTATCGTTTCTTGCAATTTTCTTCATGGAATTAGCAAATGGCTATTGGCAGAAGGTAGGTGTTGTGTCAAAAAAGCAGGTTTGTGGATATTTTGTTACTTTTCCAGAAACTATGATTCTGAAACCTCAAGGCATTTGCACCATGCTTTTGGGGCAAACCATGATTTTGGAAACTCCATCTCAAACACACCCTTAAGTTAAAAGTAAATTGAGGTTTGTGAATGACAGTGAAAGTTTTCCTCAGTTTTGATGAGGAGACACTGGTTTATCATGTTTTGCGCAAATTCTTTGGTGTCACTGTCTTTAGTATTAGTGGGAAATTGAAAGATTATTCCTCCGAAAGAGCCAGTGTGTTGCTATCAAAGCTCTACAAAATTCAAATAAACATGGTCGAACATAAAAAAGCTTAGCCTTTTGCTTTGTTGTACTCTTTTCACTGGTGCTGGCAGCTCTACCCTCCCTTGCAGGCAATATCAGGCTCATACAAGGATACTAAAGCACCGCTCTTTGATGTAGGCTTAGAGTAAGGGTTTTCATTGTTATATTAACTCTCTTTTTGAAGAATTGGCTGTTTGTATTCAGAATTGGCAGCAACAGATACATTGCCTGCAGATTATATTTTGTTCTTTGATGAGAATCAACCTTGGCAGACTAGAATTTTGGAGGAAAGCATTTTTGGAATTAAGTGATTTTAGATTTCAAATTTTATGCTGTTGACCTCCTTGTGTTCTTCTTAACGTGTAGAAAAAAACTCCCTTTTTGGGGAATCCACACCTGGTGATGTGATTACCCATGAAATTCCTTGAAGTTGTCATTTTAGTTGTCCTAGCCTGATTTCTTAGTTATTTTAGAAGGTTGTGGCTAATGTTGCATATATGAGGTGTCAACGTAAATGTCTATTTTTTCTTGTCGGATTATACATATGGATTACATGAAATAACTCGACATGAGGAGTAGGATGTTGAGGCTTCTTGAATGGCACGTACAGAAAGTAAGCATCATTTTGAATGCAATATATATTCCATGCTTCTGGTTCTAAAGTAAAAGCATAATCACAGTGCACGTTATGCATATTGCCAATATACAAGTTTAAATCTTAATCTGAGCTGAGGAAATGAGAGATTCTGGCTTTCGAGGAGCTGGATTATTTGTGCGCTCAACCTTGAAGGTGTATATAAGACTGCCCAACCTACATTATTGTATACTGTATAAGAGAAGTTTTCAAATCACCATGAATTTGTAGTGTATACTTGTTTTAGTAGTTGAAGCACATGTATGCTTTATATCCGTATTTAGTAATTGATGATATAGGTATGCTGCAAAGCCTCCAGGTTCCTTATTAGGGCATGTCATTAACTGTGAATTTGTTGATAAATCATTTGCATTCTGCAGAGCACTGAAGGAAGAGAAGTATGCTGCACGCAGGGCGATCTTGCCGCTGCTTCAAGCTGAAGAAGACGAAAGGTAGCAAACAGCTCTTTTCCGTCATCACTGCCTAATGTGTTCCCATCTCTCATTTATAAAACATTGAAGTCTTTCCTTTCTCCCTGCTTGCTTTTATTTAGATTTGTGAAGGAGTGGAAGAAGTATCTTGAATATGAGGCAGAAGTAATGAAGGATGTTCCTGGTTGGAAAGTTGGTGAAAGTGTCTATAATTCTGGGAAATGGATGCCCCCAGCAACTGGGGAGCTGCGTCCAGAGGCCTGGTGACACTTCTATCTGCATCTTGTTATGGTGCATGTTCAAGCATCCGTTTTTTTTTTTTCTTTTTTTGTCTTATCCAAGTGTCTTCTGTCACTCGGTGGTGTTTCCTTCATATGGAATAAAAATTTAGCTGTTAATCTCTTGAGATGCACTGAAAATACTGCCTACAGTAATCTTGTTTCTTTGCTTTTCATGTATCCTCATTACCTGAAAATCTTGAACATAAAGATTAAAGACCTTTAGAGCACTGTCTTCCCATTGCAATTTTATGATAAATTTTAATCTATTGGCAATGGTATGGTAGTAAAGGCACCTGAATCAGGTATATTGGGGTTACAATTCGCCAATCCATTGACTGGTTGCTGTTTGATATTGTTCTCTTCTGTGGCTTTTTTGGCTTTGTTAACGATAACTTTCCCTTTCTTGGCTCCCGAAATTGTGGAGTAGATTCACTATGGCTGTTACTAGTTTGGAACAGTTAGCCTCTTATTGTTTCATTAATTTGAGTTACTTTGGTTGTCACCCAATTATTAATCTCTTTGTTTTTATTTTTTTGTTGGAGATTAATCTCTTGGTTAGTTGTCATAACCAACTACATATAATGTAGAAACAACAATACGATGTTGCTGCAATATTTTGAACCTTTTAAACAAAAGGACATGCTTAAAAGGGCAATTGGCTCAGTGAATTGTGATAACATGACTGAGGACCAGCTTCACTGTGAGCTGCATATGAAAATGCTATTCCACTGAGGTGAAGTTGCAAATGGAACTCCTTTTACTAGTGTCTGTTGCTGCATTTGAATCCAGTCCCTGCTATTTGCGACGATCCCTTCTATGCTTCTGTGGTCTTTCTATGGTGGAGCTTTTATTCGTTGCAGTTTGATTTCTGCTTGCCTAACCAGCTTTTTTGAAATCAATACCGATGTCTTCTCAAGATCTTAACCTAATCGTTTTATAGCTCTCTGTCCATGGCCCTCCCTGACTACATATCTCTGCTTTTCTGCGCTCTCTTTTGAGACTTCCATAAATAAAATTTCCGGTTTGGTTAGTCAGAGAGAAAATTAGTACAACAATCCGAGTAATTACTAATGAAATACTTATACAAAAACTCAGCAGAACTTGTTTGATGCACCTAGTTCCAGTCACAGACCAAGACAGCAGCACCAATGTGTAATGGATTGAAGAGAAAACGTTGGTCGATCTACTGACGGAAACACCCCCAGCTAAAATGAAAATTGAGGGCTAGTATTAATTTTAATGATGCCTCTAAATAACCATCTGTGTTAATGGGCAGCAAGTTCTTACAACAGAACGAAAATGTTCAGCTATTTGAGCTGTGTTTGTTTGGAAAAAAACAAGTTTCTAGAACTTTTATTTTTATTTTTCAGTGTTTGTTTCACATTTAGGGAAAAAATCAATGGAAAATGTTTTCCAATCAACGGAAAATGATAGAGTAATTTTGAAAAAATGTTTTTCCAGTTTCAAAAGAGGAAAATATTTTTTTCTCACAAGCCTGTCTCGTTTTTACATTACTTACCTCTCTCTCGATATACTTTAACAATTTTTTTCTCTATCTTCTTTTTATTTGAAATATATCATATTAATTTTTAATAATTCTTTATCAATTATTATTAATTATTTTTTCTCTATTTTTACTAATATTTGATTTTTTTTTATTTATAGATACATTAAATATTTTTAAAAATCATTTTTACACCTTAAAATTATTTTTATAATAAATATTTCAATAACTTATCTCTTTTTTTACTATTGTCTCAAACACTACCTAAGCTATAGTTAAATGATAAAAAATGATTATTACAAGACTATAATTTTTTGTAAAAGAAAAATTAAAATTAATTAATTCATCAATAAATACATTATTTTTCTAACACTATTCATTTGCAATTAAATCAATAATTTGTAATTTTAATCAATTGTAAATTTTTTTGGTAATTGTAATGAATAATTAGTTACAAATTATTTCAACATTAATCTTTTGAGATCAAATAAATAATTATTTATAAATGATAACTAATAATTTATAAAATTATATTTTAGACTAAATTATCGAGTTCAATTTCTGTTTTTAAAAAAATTCTTAATTGAGCTATCAAAATAATAATGCTAGGATTACTTAGAATATTTTTTTTACTAAATATGAATATTGAATTGAATTTGTCCCAAGTAATTTTGATGATTTGGTTTAATGGTTAAAAAATTATATTTTATTTTTTGAATTAAAATTTTAGAGTTAGTATTGATGAAAATATATTAAATTTTTCTAAATGTATATTAAATTATAAAATTATGAATATATCTTTTTAAAATTTTCTCAAAACTTGTTGATATTATAAATATATTTTAATTTTCTGTATCAAACAAACGTTGAAATATTTTTTACCATATAATTATCAAACAGCAGAAAATATGTTCTTGAAAAACAATTTCTTGAAAAATAGCTTTCTCAAGAACCGATTTTTCTATAAAACTTGATTTCCCTCCAAACAAACATAGCCTTGAATTGATATTGTTTTTTTCCGTTGAATGCATCACCCATCACATTACAATTCTAAAAATATTGAAAATAAAATTTATGATGAACAAAAATTATAATACCAAAGCATCTTAACTTTGATTCTATGAACATATCGAAATATTTTTTTGTCGAAATCCACAACATCAATATCTAAATGCACCATCATGGTAAATGAATAATGCCCAAGCATATATTTTCGCCCAACTACAACTGTCTTGACTAAAATAAAAACTGGATTCTGTGATTAACCAATAGCAGTGGCAGTTCTGACCCACTTTCAACCTTAGCTGTATCCTTTTTTCCCCACTTGAAGCGGCAGAAAAACAGAGTTGTCCTCCAAATTTGCGTCTTAAAACGCCAATGATAGTGTCTCCATGCTGCAGAGCATGGCTGTGTAGATTATCGTCTTTAGATTTTCAGAGTAACAACAAAGGTTCCGGGTTGGGATATACTCCATTGATGATTGATGATATGAACCGTGAAACTCGAGCGATCGATAGCCTGGGATTCTGAGTTTTCATCGAGCGGCCATTGTTGTGGTACAAAAAGATATGCAACATGGGCCAAGAGAAGAAAATGGATAGTTGCAGTGAAGCTCATGGCGACCCAATGATATGTACCTGGAGCTGAACTGTTGAATGCAAATCCCCAGCTCGAGAAGAAGAAGAAATCAGAGACTGAAGCAGTAAATTCCCCATCGTCAAAAGAGAAGAAGAAGATGAAAGACAGCACCAGAGAGGGTTAAAAAGAATCAGCATTTTCAAAACCATTTCTCGATTTGTTCGTGTCATCCTTGCGCAGGGGCCATGCTAATCTTCTCTGTATCGTTCCAATTTTAACGGATGTCTCCGAAGAGACAATTATTTTTCGCATGCTTCTGGCTATACAAGCATGCGTCTCTGCGTAGTGTGGGATTTAGTTAGATTCCAACTAAATCAACGTCCGGCGTTTGGTTTTACACGTCATCAGTCTTCATAGGTGGGCTTTTACTTGCGGGCCGGAGATTATAACAACCCACTTGTCTGAGTCCTATCATTTCAATTTCATAAAAGACTCGTATCTTTGTATATTTTATATTTTCATAAGTAATGTCTTATTCATTAATTTTTTAAAAAACAAACTTCAATCATTATAAAATATAAAATATAAAATATAAAATAAATAAACCTGTGCCCACACCAGCAAAAATCATAAAAAATTAAAGAAGTCAGCAAAAACATAATAAAGCTACATAGGTTTATTTTCCTGCCTAAGCTAGGATAACTTAGTTTGCGTTGCTTAAAATAATTACTAATACCAACCTGGATTGTCTGCTAGAAATCGTACAGCAACCTACCCACCAGAGGGCACACCCACGGTATTCCTTTCAATGGGGTCAATAAGATTGAAACTTGCAGAGTCCTTATTTGGATTGAAGTTCCCAAAACCTTGGCCAACAACCAAGAAATTGAAGCCATGCAAGCGAAAAGGGTGGTTCTCTGCACCAAGCATGCTAGTGCCCTGCAGAATGAGCTCCACAGCGGCATTAACAGGAAGCACTACTAGCTTTGTTCCATTGCTCGCTATGGTACTGTTTGGTGGATTTCCAGTATAGTTAAAATGAATAAGTGGACTGATTGGAAAATCGGGAGTTTAAACACCCTTTGACTGATCAAAATGGTGGGCTTGGAGTAGAGCATTGCTAGGCATTGTAAATGATACGTTATTAAGTTAAGCTGCAAACAATATTGTTCCATTTGGTTCCTGGCAGGTTTGGTTTTTAGGGCACGGGTGTGTTCCAAGGCCTACAGTGAAGAAATATTGTCTGTCAACCTTTTGAGGCACATTGGCAGGGAATTCTGCACTGGCTAAGCTGCGGAGTTTGCTAGTAAAGTTTGTAGCAAAAGAAGTATCATTTAGAGATGGTGAATTTGGTTGATAAAGCAGAAGTTTTTTAGTGTACCGAGAATGGCTTGATTGAATGCTTTTGTGGGATACTTCATATTCTAAAATGCCAGCAACAGTTGAATTATCAGAAGTTCCTTGACCAGTCACGTAAGGTCTATCAGTCATGAAAAATTTGGCATTTGGGTGGTGGAGTTTGATCTTGAGAAGGACATTTGTGGTTTGTCCAGGGAAGCGTCTCGGTATCAAATGCTTTCACATACATAGCATCAGCTTCCACAATTGTGAACGTATGGTTTATATGCTGAAGAAAAGCTCGTCATTGAGTGCAGCGTTGATCAGGCGAAGAAGGTAAGTCTTTCCAGGATTTACCTTAAGCTTGAAAGTATCTGCCAAGTACCATTTACACAACGTAAATGAGAGAGAGAGAGATGCTCTGTGTTGTAGTAGAAGGCCTAATTTGCTATCATATTGCACCTTTGACAGAGCAGTTATATAATGGCCCTGGTAGTCCATTGATGGTGTAAGCATCAGATACAATTGGGCCTCCACCTGTTTGCAATACCTGGTTAATGATTGCCTCTGGATCTGCATTGAACCACTCTCCTGCAATTCAAGTAACATAGGTACTTATATTTGCAAATGCAGACGACCTCAAAAGGAAAGAATAAATGCAACTTCCAATTAGTACTTAAAAGTAGCTTGCTTATATAGCTGATTACAAAGATGATGGGAGCTCCCTTGTAAGGTTTGACAAATGGATAAGGAGTACCAAGTTTGGGAAGAATGATCAAGGGACCACAGAGAGTTGATCTTAGCCATGATATAAGGGCATGACACCAAAGAGTGCCTCTTTGTCCCACAATGGTGTAGTTGTAAACATAGCTTTGTCCAGTTTGTATTGGACATTTGAGTTATATATGCTGGTCCGTCAGCTCATCCACTTTGAAGCTGTCGAATTCGATGCCTGTTATCAATGAAAATATAGATAGAAATTCAGACTTTGTTTTCCGAATATCAGGTACATTACATATAATAACAACGGAAAAATATCTACATATATACCAGTGAATAGAGATATTGTTTTGGACATGGTTAGACACTTCAATAAGAAGTCCGTCTCCCTCCCTAGCTATAATCCGAGGTTCTGGGAACTTCCCATTGACTGTTACCATGCTCTTGGTGAGGCAAAGGCGTGTCCCATTCTGCATCATGTACTGCAAAATGAAGTAGACAACTTCTTTGTCTAAGAAAAACGGATTTGGAGAAAATTTTAAATGCTGTTCTTTTCTGGATAAAAATATGAAAGCAGATTGATGTGTGTGACAATATTAGCTTGACAAATTTAGGTAGCAAAGCTAATGACATGCAAGATATACATCAAGTTTGTAGTGCCTAGTAATGGCAAAGGCAGGCTCAGGATGGAGAGCCAAAGTAACAAATGAGAAGAGAAAAACTCCCAGAAATGCTGGTGATGGAAGAGAAGAAACACCCATTTTTGTCTACTTCTTCTTTCAGACAAGACTAGAAGGTCCAATGCTTGAACCTAAAATAGCTTTTTTCTTCGACTGTATGTTCATCAAAGCTTGGAAACCAGTACATCTAGAGGGATAGTTGAAAGAAGGGAGGTAGTTATTCATAAAAAATAAATAAAAAAGAAGAAGAAGGCGTAAAAGTTATTTGATTAGGTGATAGAAATTGTATAGTTTTATATTGTAAAGTAAACTAGAACAAGCTTCGTGAATCATATATTTCAGTTTATTAACAACTCTAATCTAGAGTTCAGTCAAAGCCAATTTCCTTGGTCTCCTTTCTTTTGAAGTAAAAACCTGTCCCTCTTTCCTACTAAATAATAATACGAACATTCCAACTCTAATTGGCATGGCATTTCCAGATTGGTCCCATGCAGTTCTAGTCTTCGGTATACAGGCTTCCATTTTCAGCAACAAATTAATGGAGTTTTCACTTAATTGTTTCGAGATATTCTAAAACTGTAATGCTTGGTAATAAAGCTGATAATAATCAAGAGGTTTCTATCAAAGAAGTCATTTTCAGCGTTGGATGCGTGTCATGAAGTACAGGTCATGGATGAATAGTAGGGAGACCCCCCTGAAGCCATTTTGTCTCAAGCAAACATAGTAACATACTAGCTGCCACATGAATATCGTATAATTCGCAAAGAATTTGATTCGAAAGTAGAAAATGATGTGTGATTGATTAGTTAGTGCTTAAAATTGCACACTTCGCCTGATAAGTTGAGGGTTCCAAAGTGACCTCTCACATATCAGAAGCTGTAATTGCCACGAATCTCTCTCACAATTTAGAATCTGGTAGCTGGCGCATTTTAAGTTTGCACCGACATTCATTACAGTTTATGTGCATGTCTCTCCTAACTGAGAATAAGTTCGGGATTAATGATGTTGATTGTTGTTGTGTTAACCCCCTAAGCCATGTATATAACTTCAAGCTCTTTATCAAATGCCAACGAACTGATTCAATCGACACCCGTGCTCTCTCTCTCGTAATCGATTTCAGATTCGAGTTGCTCTTTTGTAATTAAAAAAAAAATGTCAAATCACTCAAATCCCATTGGATCAAAGTAATTAGAGGCTTTCTGAAAAGATGGAGGGCCATCGACTTTTCTATCTGAAGTTTTGATGGATCTCCTGATGAAAAATCGGAGAAAAATGGAAAAAGAGAGTCGAATAGTTTTTGGGTGGCAAATTAATGCGAAAAAAAAAATATCAATATTCAGGATGCCTCTCAATGAATCATCTATATTGTGCAGCAACTTCTTACTTCTTACAACAAAATGAAAATCTTTCAATTGAAGGCTGACGTAAGCAGTTCACTACGCATCGCATTTCAATTGTAAAATTATTGAAAGTAAAATTCATGATGAAACAAAATTTCAAATTCTGAGACAAATGAATTTTTTATTTCCGATATATTGATGTTACATCTTTGTGATCGGCAGCATTCTCACTACCTACACTGCAATCTCACACTCCAGCTTCCTTGTATGAAAAGTTTCGATTTTTACTCACGAACTAATGGTAACCTTCCTCCCTGTTTCTAGAACCACACTTCAACTTTAAATATTTAGGCTTGGAAACACATTCTTAACAGAGTGTGATTACTGTCTAGCTTAATTGTCGGGCAGAATTGATTCCAAGGAAGCTTCAAATCACCATTAAGGCTACCTTTCAAACGGATCTTCTCTATTCGAAATCAGATATGTACACAGCTGCAATTTTTATCCGTAAGATAGCGTTTTTTCTGCACCAGCAACCTCGCGTCTTCAAAGGCAACCCGGCTCTGCCAAAATGGAAGCAGTAAAAGTAGCTCTTGTTCTGAACAGTCATCCAATCACTTCTGAATTCTGTATTATTATTGTCTGGTGGAAGCCAAATGCCTTCTGAAGAAAACCATCGACCATGTTTAGGATTGAAGTTCCAATTGATTTCACACATAGAAAGCAATTTTTGAACACTTATAATGTGGCATAAAACCACTTGCTAAATCTAGCAATTGCCTTTTTTGCTGGCAGCTAAACAAAACTCCTAAATATGACAATGACGTGGTGAAGAAAGCTGATAGAAAATTGACTGTGACAATTAATGACTTGGTGCCATTATAAAGAAAGATTATTCAGATCTGATGGTTTTTGTTTCCGGAAGAACTTTTTCAGCAAGTCATAGGTGACCTTTATGGTCAGACTCCTATAGCACTGAAGTATGAATGACATCCCGCAAATGCAAGTGCAAAACTAACCAATTACCTGCACAGTAGACACTAATAGTTTCCGTGCGGCAAAGATAGGTTTCGTCAATTTTATACCAGGATATGTCACAGCTTTTGACAGTCCCGTCCTGAAACCCCCAGACAGAGTACTAAGGAAAGCGAACAAAAAGAAAAGGTTTGTAATACCACCAAATCAATTTCATAACGCAGCTTTAAATCATGAATCATTTAGGAGACGAGTTCAGCAGCAGTGCCGTGGATAGAGGTAGCTATAATAATGTATGCCAAATCATGACCATGAACTGAAAAGTCCTTGAAGTAATTCCCCTCCACAAATACACAGGAGTCACGGCAAACGCAATGGCAAAAGTATATTCCACTTTGAATCAATCTGCATTTAGAAGCTGCTCTAAGAAGATCCTTTGGCTAGCTGCAAATATGATGATCTCGAAAAGACTGGAAATTCTCTGCAAAAAACCTAAGGTAATGATCTCTGCAATCAACATCTTTGACCACCATCTACTGATGGTATAAAGATTGCTCAATGGCAAACCATGCATGTTAAACTAGTTGAGCTTAATTTTTGCAATTTGGCCACAGGTTTTGAAAATAAATTCAGTCCTATTGCATAAAAACTTAAAAGGGACCCCTTTGAATGAAGCTGTTGGCAGACAGTGATTATGTTTTTTTAAGGAAATAAAACCAGCTTATGGCTAAGATGCTATTAATCCGTTCTCATAGATAACAAAGGGGCTGTGAAGCAAGATAATAGCACAAAATATGTGATCTCAAACACAAAGTTTTAGATGCTGGTCCTCGTGATGATTTATCATAAATAACATGCTTAGCAAGGCGAGAAAACCTATAGGCAACAATGTCTCATATCATCCGAGAATATATTGAGGTTCTAATTCAACAAGGTGCCATCAACAACAACTGAGACATTGCTCAAAGAAACATAACAGTCTTAGTCAAGGAAAATCTACGACATGCAGTAGTATAATATTAATGAATTCATGGATCTTGTTTTGGGCCTTTAACTCCAGTTTGCCTCGCCTTTCTCTCATTTCTCCATCACTGAAACCAACAAGCCAGAGCTCAGCTAAACTACTACTAATCTCCAGTTTTAGCTTCACTTCACAATCTATGTATCTATTCTATGAAAAATTTAGCTTTCCATTTCTATCCTTGCACTAACTAACCCTTGAGGTTACCATTCAATCAATCAACATGGATCATATCTCCCTGACTATGACAAGCTGGAATCATTGACTACGCAACCAAGGTGTTCGACGAAATGACTCTTATCAGGATTTTGCATCCATTATAAACTTGTTGGTTTGTATTTTAAGTCATAAAATATTAGGATGTCATAAGTTAAGCTGCTTTCAAAATATTCTTTTAGAAGTCTACTTAAGCCAAAACATCAAAGGAGTGGATCTGACCTGTTCAATGCAGTAAATCTCTATCGTCAGACGAGAAGAAGAGGATGAAAGAGAGCACCCAAGATCCCCATCGTCGAAAGAGAAGAAGAAGATGAAGGTTTAAGAAGAAAGAATCAGAATTTTTCAAAAAAAATTTGGACCATTTCTCGATTTGTGCGTGTCATCCTTGCGCAGGGGCCATGCTAATCTTCTCTGTATCGTTCCAATTTTATCGGATGTCCCCGAAGGGACGATCACCGTTTGCTTGCGCGCTAGTATATACCATGGCTTCTTTTTGTAACTAAGCGATGTGGGATTCAGTTCCATCCCAACTAATTAACGTCACGTGTTTGGTTTCACACGTCATCAGACCTCCTCACTTCTGCCCAGATGGGCCTTCTACCCGAGGACCATAATAACAACCCAATTGTCTGAATGCGGGAGCCCAAACTTAATCAAGTCTGAGTATTTTCTTAGTATTTTAGTACTTGGGGCCCATGAAGTCAGTAGCTGAAGCCTAAATATACTCAAGTTGCAAAGTCTTTCGTCTGTTACACGAAGTGGAAAGAACACAACCCAAAACATGACCATAGATCAATGCCAATGTTCTCTTCTTTGCACTTTCTTTTTCTTTCATCTACTTCCACTTTAAAACTTTAAAGTAATAAATAATAATCAAAACGAAGTTTCTGTTCCTAAGTTTCAATGATGTTTCTGGTCATCAGCTAAAGCATTGAAATGCCAGTCACATCCCATCCCAAGAAACGCAAGAGCAAAATTGACCAAATTAACACGCCATAGAAACCAATGGTTTCCATGTTGGGAAGATAGCTTTCGCCAATGTTATGCCGCCGCACGTCACAGCTTTTGTTGATTTTATCCCATGATACAGATTGTGACACCAGATACCTTTGACAACCCTATCCCAGACCCTCTAAACAGAGTTCTGAAAAAAAGTAATTCCATAAACTGGAATCTTTGAGGTGATTTCTCTCAAGAAAAACAAAGGAATCCTTGAGAATCATAAATCTTTGGAGAGTTGTGTAGTATGAATTATAGTAATGTTTGCCAACTAAATAATTCCATAATCATAGCCATAAGAATCATAAATCACTGCAAGAGATAAAGTTTTGCAAAAGTACCTGTGGAGAGTTGTGTAGTGTGGATTATAGTAATGTGTGCCAAATCATGACCATGAACTGGAATACTTGAGGTGATTTCTCTCAAGAAAAACAAAGGATTCAAGGTAAACGCAATAGCAAAAATATTCCTCCTTCAATCAATCTGCATCAAGAAGCTGCTCTGAGGAGATCCCCTGTGCAAATATGATCTCAAAATGACGGGAAACCCTCTCAATAAAATCTGAAGGTGAGAACAACAATGAACAGATACTGTATTCTCTTCGAGGTAACAATCTATAGGAGACATGACATTTCCATCGTCAAAATGTTCTAGTCTGAAGTGCAGCGAAGGATCTGCAATCAACACCTTTAACTAGCATCAACAGATATTAAAACTAGTTGAGCTTCATTTTTGCAATTCGGCCACAATTTTGACAAGAAAATTCGGTCCTATGGGATAAAACCTCTAGGTGAGTCCTATGAAACTGTTAGAAATGAATCATGCCAATAAGTATACCCTTTTACTGAGTACAACCAATTCATAGTTGCAAATTCTGGTAAACCCATCGACATCAATCAGAACGTGGCCCAGTCCTACGGATAAAACCTCTACGTCAGTCCTATGAAACTGTATGAATCATGGGAATAATTATAGCCTTTTACTGAGTACAACCAATTCGTAGTTACAAATTCTGGTAAACCCATTGACATCAATCAGAACGTGGCTGCCTATGAAGTGAATGGTAGGACAAGGTATGTAATCTCAAACACGACGGGATGTTTTCAATGATTTATAATAAATAACATGCTTAACAAGGTAAGAAAAATCTATAAGCAACAATGCCTCACATTCTTTGTCAAACATAACATATTCAGCTTCTGATTCAACAATGACAACAAGACAATGCTCAAAGCTCAGAATTATATTATTTTTTTAAAACCAAGATAAGAACATGCAGAAACCAGCCAAAGGATAGAGCTCAGCTACAAACTAGTACTCTTTGTCTGATCTCTCCATGTGAAGCCATTAACTTCACAATCTCTCCGTCTATTCTCTGGATGATTAATTTAGCTTTCCTCCATTTCTATCTTCTCCTTGCATGGACTAACCCATGAAGTATCAATTTAGCCTTGACGTAACCAAGGTGTTCGACTAAATGACTCTATCAGATTGTCACATTTTTGGCATCTGTTAGAACTGATTCATTGGCTGTAATTTATATAAAAAATTAGGGTGTGTTTTTAATAATAACACAGATATCAAGAACATGCATCTTAGAAAATTATTTTTTTCAGAAGCGAAAATCACCAAATTGTTGTAAAACCGACAGTCTGCTTTAGAAAAAACAAAAGAGGAATGGAACTGACTGGTTCAATGCGATAAATTCCCAATCGTCAGAGAAGAGAGGACGAAGAAGAAGAAGATGATGATGGAAAAGCACCAGAGAGAGGCTGCAAGAGCGAAAATTTTCAAAAAAATTTGGACCATTTCTCGATTTGTGCGTGTCATCCTTGCGCAGGGGCCATGCTAATCTTCTCTGTATCGTTCCAATTTTATCGGATGTCCCCGAAGGGACAATTAATCATCGGTTTCTATTGAATATAAAACGTTGCACGTCCTTGTAACTAGGCAATGTGGGATTTAGTTCCATCCCAACTAATAAACGTCACGCGTTTCCTTTCAACACGTCATCCATCCTTACACATGTATAAGTTATGCCTCCCTCTCCCACACGTGATACAATTAATTGTGGACTTTGGATAACAAAACCCACTTCTTTCAGTCCTTACACCAAATTTCAGTTAGCTAATTAAATTAAATAAACAATATGTCAAGAGAAGAATATATTTTGTCAATAGCTCCATTTTTCCTTTTTATTTATTTTTTCTTTTTTTCACAACTACTTGATCAATAGCTCCAACTCACATGCATATCTTACCCATATACTACTATTTTCAATCAGTCTTTCAATTAATATATTAGAATCTTTCACAAATATTTTTGTTGAATTCTTGTAAACCATCTGCTGGACTAACGAATCCCCGTTTTAACTACATGTTCTAAGTTTATTTAACCTATATCAAAAGAGAATAGTATAGACTGAGTTCCATGTTATACGCACACCAAACATGAAAAGAAAAAAAATGATACAGCTTTGACTCCTAAAATCTTATTCTACAATCTCAAAGAAATACCCAATTTAAATGAAGACCAAAAAAAATATATATTGAAAATTCAGTTTGTGTATCCGGGATTGCTAATCAATAGTTTTTAAATAATATAGTACCAACCACAAAAGCTGTTGCCTGCTGATGCAAAGGCTACAGTTGTTTCGAATAGCTCATAAACATCTCCTATTTGAAACCTCAAACTACTACAGCTTGCCCAGCTTCTAAGCGCTCACAACAAGATATCCAAAGAATTTAACACAGCATGAAAAGCTGCATCCTATCAATGGACAATTTATCATTTGATTGTAAACTGACTTGCTTCAAAAAACAGATAGGAAAAATGTTTGCTTCAATATTAATATACAAGGTAGAATTGCTATTGTTTTTTCACACCCTTGTAATTCCATCAGCTTCAAAGTCAAAACTGGGTGGACATATTAAACTGTCTATGAAGCTTCTTATTTCCAAGTATACCTATGGAGCACTTTCATGTTCCAGGTTCCTTCTATGAAAAGTTTCGGACTCTTAAATTTCATTACATCCATAAACACATTCCTCTCTCTTTCTGGTTAGAATCGCACTTCAATTTTAAATCTCAGTCTTGCAAACACATTCTCAACAAAAGAGAATGTGTAACATTTTAATTCTGTAATAAATAAGGTCACAGCAGAATTGATTATACATCCCAACTCGAATACTTCAGAAGGATCTCCTCTACTTGAAGCTACCTTTCAAAAGGATCTCCTCTACTTGAATTCAACTGAGGGTAAACAGCTGCAGCAATTTTCTGTCGAAGATTGTATTTCTTCGCAATCAGTGGCCTCACATCTTCAACCCCAACCAAGCTCTCCAAAAATGGAAGTAGTGAAAGCAACTCTTTATCCGCGCGATCATCAAACCAGCTCTCAATTGGGATACCATTGTCTACTTGGAAGCCAAATGCCTGAAATGAAAACCACCAACCTTGTCAAGAAGTTAAGCTCTAACAAAATTTGCAAATAGAAACCAGAAAATAGGATTTCTAAGTTTCAGAATGTAATCCCAACAGTGTTATTGATCAAACTGTTGCATGGATTTAAGTCCCATTGACATCTCCTAAAAATGTAAGTGTGTTGGCAAATTAACTACAAAATAGTAACGGTTTTCATGCTAAGAAGATAGCTTTTACCAATTTTATGTAATGGACAGGATATAGTGCCTGATGTCCCAAACAACCCCACCACACTCCCCCAAAAACATTACTGAAAAGGGCAAAAGTCCAAGTAAAAGGATGCAGTATCTCTAAGACCAATCAAACTATGATCCAAGCCATGTCATTCAGAAAGCACTGAAAAAGAAGAATTCTGCAATGGTACCTGGGGAGAGTTGTCAATTATAATAACACGCGTCAAATCACGACCAAGAACTGACAAATCCTTGAGGTAGTTACCCTCAACAAAAACACAGGATTCACGGAAAACACGGTGTCGGAATATCCTCCTCTTTGGATCAAGCACATTTAGAAGCTGTTCTGCATAAATACTTTGGCTAGCTGTAAATATTATGATCTCAAAGAGACTAGAAACTCTCTCCATGAAATCTCTGAGGTAAGGACGGCATCGAACAAAGACTGTGTGCTCCTGGAGGTTAAAGTTGACAGGAAACGTGAAGTCTGCATCATCACAAGGTTCAAGTGTGGAGTGCACCAGTGTCTCTGAATTAAAAATGGCAATCAACACTTTCACAATCAGAAACAGATAGGATGCAGGTAGCTCTATGGCCAAACATGCATGTTGCACTATATTAAATGCAAAACTGCCACTTCATAAAACAAGTATGGCAGCAACGGTTCAAAATTTTCTTCTGATTCAACAAACTCCTACCTTCCACCAATAAATCAAAATATAAAAAAGACTGATAGCAATCAAAATTACATGTAGCAGATGATCAGGTACACGTAGAAATCAGAATGTCACACTTTGTTAGTCACTGGAACACAATAATTTCAAGAAAGCTCAATCACTCACCACAATTAATACAGCTTGCAAATGAGACTTGCATATGAAATATTGCAATAAGGCATTCTTTGATTAGAAACAAATAATAACATCCAAAAGGCTGCAAAAAGGTTTGAAAAACAAAAGGTCTTTGCAGCATTCCCTCCATGCATCCAAAAAATAAATAAAGATTAAGAGACAAATTACCTCAGCATGATAAGATGACGAGAAGAAAGAGCAAGATGTGAAATGAATCATTAATAAATACACATAATTCACAAGAACAGAATATCCAACAACAAAGTTGGAGACATATAATAGACATGTTTGATGGCAAAATCATGCACGAACGTAACATGAAATAAATGCCTAAAAGCACGTACCATCCAGGTCCAAAACAAGAGTCGTAGGAGGACAACTCCGTGTCTGTTTAGGTAGCAGCATATGCCGAAAAGTGGGGACTACTGATGACAAATCTGGCAGGTTCTTTATAAATAGATAAGGGTCAAAGTCATCAAACTCCTCGTAATCATCTTCCTCCATGCAAACATCAGTTGCCATAGAATCTTGACCGTGCTCATCAACACATTCCAGTTTTGAGTTCTTCATCGCAAGATATATAGTTGAAACTTCAGAAGGAAGACCAACTCCATTTGAAGCTGCAATACTACAAGAATTCACAGTAGTTGCATCAGTAGAGAACTGATCACCATAGCTATCCGCATATGAGTTTTTGGCCGATATATTTTTCTCCACTTCTGGGACACTATGACATGTTGTGTTGAGTGATGTTACTGTGCTCTCATTGTGTTCTCCAAAAGAGGATTTAAAGGTTTCTTGTGTAACATGACCATCCAGCATATCAACCCGAGAGTCTCCGGTCCGAAACAGTTCGAGGAAGTCAACTAAAGGGGAGATTGTAAAAAAAAAAAAAGTATCACGTGAGAGGGAAAAGATAACAGAAACTTAAATGAATATACATAGACGTATATCAGCTTTAAAACAAAAATTCCAATTGTCACCCACCCCCGCCAGAAATTTCTCCTCCAGCAACTTTAGATATGTGAAAAGCAGGAGAAAATATAGTTTGCAACACACATTGAGCAGCTCCTTCATTACAATCCTGCATTACAAATTAGCAAATCATATAATAGAATCTTAAAGCTCGACATGTTTATCTTTTTTTGTTATTTTTTAACTCTTTTGAAACACTTTTCTGAGAGCTTTTGAATTAAACATAAAATTTGATTAGAAAATAACAGAAGCATGTCAAATTTTATATATTCATTGATCCAAAACAGAACCTAAAGCAGATCTGTTTGAAAGGTGCATAGCACACACAGGTGGAGCAGTTACCTTAGGATCCACCACATCACAATCGGTAGAAGCATTGGAAGCCTTATGATGCATCGAGTTGAATCTAGTATTCAAATTTGTTGCCACAATAGGCTCCTGACTTTTCTTTGGAAGGGTGCCTGCAAAGAGTGTTGGAGGTTGGAGTAAACAAAATTATAAGAAAGAGATTTCCCAGTGTGAATTTCTCAATGGTTCTTACTAAGGTAATAAATAAGAAAGTTAATTCTTAATGGTACAATGTGTGATGCTGAGTTCTGTAATAATAGAATTTCCTCAGATCCTGACTTTGAAGCAGATACAGTGAAGATGAAACTTGATGCTATCAGGAGCACAATCAGGTAAACTATGCTAAAAAACAATAAATCAGGACATATCAAATTGATCTAGAATCTGCTAACATTGTGGTAAATTAATTTTGCTTGGAAAGATCAAATTGCTCGACACCAGTTAGTTGTGCACAGGTATGATGTCAGGTAGCAATAAACATGTTTTGCTAATTTTGAGTGTTAAGTTCAAAACAGCATTCAACATTTCACTTTTTTTTATATACCCATTCTTCATCAGAGGACATGCTTCGGCAGTTTATTTGTGTTCCTACATCTTCAAAGAAATATACATTTGTTATACATGCTTCAAAGAAACAAACAAAATTGTAAGAGACTAACTGCCCCCCTCCCCCCACTCCAAAAGAACAAAAAAAAAAAAAAAAAAAATCTAAACCTGACAATTTATTACCATCTCCACAAAAAAAGTCAACAGAGTATGTTCTGTGCAAGCATGCATGTACTGAAAATATAAAAAGACAACATATTACATTTCTGCTTCCTGGTCGAAGATGTAATCAGCTCTGAAACTTTCTTTTCAGCTACTTGCACATTTTCCGACAGTTTCTTCTGAGCTCTTGAAATCCTGGGACTTGCATGCTCTCTTGAAGCATTTCTTCCAGAAATTCTTTTCTTAGTTTGCATTTCCACTGGAAAATTGTTCCCAACTTGAGGCTATTTCCCCTGACTCAGCTCCAGCAGAAAAACCCAAAAATTGGAGATGCAATCCTGACCAGAGAACCCTATACTCAGAATCAATTGGATAACATTTAGTTTTTCACATCAAAGTCAACCAGATGTAACTTTATGCACATTAATGTTTAAGACTACACAGTATGGTGAAAATGAAAACAGCAAAAAGAAAAATCAAAATGGATTTTCTTAAGCATTTAAAGAATTACTTTTTATCACTACACATGAAAGGATGCATTGCAGCCTTCAACACAAAATATGGACTTTGTCATGTATTGGCAGCAAAAAAACATTCTTAACATATTAAAGTAAACATTTGAATTCAGAAAGACTGGTTAACAGCATCATATAAAGCCAACATATCCAAATACAGGTCACAGATTAAAGCAAACGCCCATCAAAAATACATTTTCCTAATCTTCAGACTATTTAGCTTTAAACTTTAGGTCAGAGATTGGAACCTTAGAATCCCAAACTCTGAAAAAAAAAAACCAGCTAAATATCGCATTCATTGAGTACTAAAGTCTATACAAACAAGATAACATTTTGAAATCTACACTACAAATTACTAGGCACCTTTTAATTGCAATCAAATTGAAGTACATACAGCAAATTTTCCCTAAACCCATTTCCGAAAAACTGCTTGAAATTGAGAATAAAATGCATGCAATTGCAGAAGCTCAAAACCCTAGACCCCTCCACTTCAAAATAACCAAAATCCAATTTCAGCATGCAAAAATCCATAACCCCATCAAAAAAAAAAAAGCCCCTCGAAAAATCAGCCATTCAAAACATCAAATTCATAAATCTTAACTAACAGTACACAGCTAGAACCCCAAAAAAAAAAAAAAAAGGACAGTAAGTTGAGAGCTAAAAACGAACAGTAATAAGAAAAGCTTACCTGTTAAATTAAAATCGAGCATGAACACATCACAAGTGTTGAACTGACAGTGAAATTTTTGCTGGAAATTAAAGAAATGAAGGACACTGAGTGAAGTAAATTACCAGAAAAACCCTAGAATTCAAGTGTTACGGAAGACCCAGAGAGGGAAGGAGGAGGAGAGAGAGGGAGAGAAATTTGGCTATGTTGAGAGGGGTTTGTTTTTATTTTAATTTTTGAAGAGGTTTTTATTTCCCTCCAAGGATGTTAAAAGAGAGGGAAACGATGAAAGATTGAAGAACTTTATTTTTGTCTGAAACCAAACTGCGAAATTTTCTCTCTCTGTTTGTGCGTATATTCATCAGGTATTTAATTTTTTAGGAAAAAAGAAAAAGAGAGAGAGAAAGAAAATGAACAGGGTTAAATATTGTAATTTTAAATTGGGAGAGATACCATACTCGCGAATGATGATGATGTGACTGTAATTGCTGTAAATGAGAAACAAGTGGATGAAAGTTTTGAAACCTCTGCGAGGGGAGCAGCGCGTGGGTTCGTTTGGGAATCTGCGATTAGGAAAGATCTTTCTATTTTGTTTGGTTAGATGCTGTTCAGCGTTACAACGGCGTCGTTTGGGAATTGATTTGGTTAGGAGGAAGTTTATTTATGAGTGAGAAAATGAGGAAAAAAGTGGAGGGAGAATTTTCTATTTTTAAGTTTTATTGGATTCTGTTTGTGTCCCGTGATGCACTGTCAATTTATCTTAATTTATGAAGAAGGACTTTTTGAAATTGTAATTTTGTTCCTAGCTTATTTGGTATTTCCAAACTTGGATCTGAAATTAAACGAGATTCCAAAATGTGGCAAATTTTATGGAAGCCAGGCTTACTTCACTACCACTATTCTGGTTGGGGGAGGTTGGATTGTGATCGTAATTACACGTGTCATTAACTGAAGTTGTGGTTTTATTGTAACAGCATTAGTGATTAAAAAAGAAAATTTAGGTAAAAGAACTCTTGAAATAGAGATTGTCAACAATGGTTGAATTATAAAAAAAAAGTAAAAAAGCTTTGAAATGAAGTTTTTTTATTTCTTTTAGTTTTTCGATTTTTAGATATAAGGTACTCTTGAATCAAAACTTATAAATAATATATTGTAAAAAAATCTTAACTTTTTGTATTTTTTTTTAGTTTTTGAGTTTTTAGATATAAAATTGTATTGTATCACTTCGCTGTAAAAAAACAAAAAAATCAATTTTATTTTCAAAAAATACTTGTTTATTTGAAATCATGTTTTATGTTGTATATTTTGTCTTTAATTTTTTTATATAAGTCCAGATAGTATTCTGTTAAGTTTTTACCGATCTTATATAGACTATAGACTATCTTGAGATCTTTGAAAAATCAAAGCCGGATGGTGTCAAGATTTGTAAGAAAATGATATGAAGTTCGAAGAATTAGAGCTTTGGATTATTCAATGATGCTCCGTATTTTAATCTAAAAAAATAAAAATCAAAGGGCTACCTTGCAAACACTTGAAGGTTCTGAAAGTTTGGTGCAATTATTGCAACGTCTCGTGGGAAGAATCTTTTTTGAAATTTTGAAACTGAAGTTGATTCCTGTTTCAAGCACAGCTGAAAGCTCCAGGTCTCCAGCCGTCCACAAATCAGTTTGAACTTTGAATCGCAGACTGCCATTTGAATTAATCCTGGTTATTGTCCACCCAATGGGCTCCTGGAGCAGAAATTCAGGCCCAGCCTGCCATTGAATTAATCATGGCCTGATAGTTAACGATTTAGCCCATAGTGTTTCACCAAATCCACAACCTGCAGCTCGAGAGGCGCCCGCATTGAGATAGTTTTCTTTGTCTTGAATTTCTTCTCCAGGAGATTAAATACATGAGGTTACTAGAACATAAACCGTTATGAATTATAAAGTGAGTGTCTTGACTAAAACTTTTTTTTATTTTTTTATTCATAGTTAAGTGTTTAGAGTTTAATTTGTCTCGGATAGATGACAGAACAATTAAAAATGTGACAATGAAATGAAATTTTAAATATCCAACAACTTGTTACCATTTTGGGTCACACAACCATAGAACAAATGAGAGCCACGTATTATCCATGTCTCCTTTAGTAATAACATTATTTTTTTAACCAAATATATCAAATCTCTCGTAAAGTCTATTTAAAAATCAGTTTGGTTTTGATATTTTTTAAACTTTATTTTTTTATTTTTTTAGATTTAGTCCATTATTTAGTTTTTTGTAAAAAATAATGTTCATATAAATAATTTTATAATAAAAATCATTCAGTAAGATTTATCTATGACTCTTTAAAAAAAATATAAAGATCATTTTAGATTATTTTCTATTGTTTTTTATTTTTTATACTTTTAATATTCAAAATATAAATAAATATATATATATATATATATATATATATATATATATATACTTTCTGATTTTAAAATTTTTTGAGATTTTTTTTCATAAAATGAATTGGTTTTCCCCAACATGTGTGTAAATTTTCAATTAAAAATACTAAAAATTGAATTTTGAAGAGAGAATAGTTGGAAATCATAAAACAGATTAAATCTAAATAAAAAAAAACAAATAAAACTTCAAGAAAGGTAAAACTCAAAATAAAAAATTCAAATACTAAATTTTTAAAAAAGTAAAGTTTATAGAAGGTTTGGTCCATTTAGTGTAGTTGTTCTTATAATGATTTATTATCTTATTTTAAATGTTAATAATTACTTTATGAAGGAAAAAAAATCAACCTTTTGAACCTTTAGAAAAGGAAAAAAAAAAAAAAAAAACACTTTCTCACGCAAACCACCCGTTGCCAGTAACAAACCTACTCCGGAAGACAATTTCAACAATTATTTATAGACTTTGTGATTATAATGTCTTAAAGTCATCAATTATTAAATATTTGTATTTATTATATCCTAATATATTAGCTCGTATTTTAGTTATTTAATTCGTTATTATATAACTTTATTGGTTACTAATATTGTAATGCAATTACCATTCAAAAATTACATATTTATCTCAAAAGATAAAATAGATATTATGGTTTCTCTTTAAAATAAAAACTAACAAGTGAAGGTAAAATATGTGTGTTGTTCTACACAGTGATTCCAAACCCATAATTATATGTGTTTTTATTTTTTTATTTTTATATACACAACAGAGAACACAGGTGATAGTTTTATTAATAAACTCGTTAAAATTTACTTAACAGGTGAAAAAATTTTAATCCCGAAGTCAAAACGAAAAGAAAAAGGTCGTATCATAAACAAATGAGTGGAAATTAAAACAAAAGATTCAAAAAGCTAGGGCCTCTTATTTTATCAAAGCAAAACACACAAGGCTTCAGTATCAGCTTATCTGGGCTAGTTGGATGTATTACGCTGACTGCAACTTGGGCCACTAAAAATACAGTAAGGAGATAGTGACTGGTCGTATATTTGAGCGAAGGAATAGAAAAACACAAGCTAGGCCCATGACCAACAAGGGAAAGGCATCGAGTCCAAGGTTTTGATGCTTTAGAAACGAGTTTAAACGGGCACTTCATATGAACCATAGAGATGAGCGTTTTATGGTTTTGAAGTTCCATTTTGACAGCTCTCTTCAAAAGGAGTTGAATGCATCTTCCCTGTAGAAACTAGTTGAATCATTACATGAATGATGCGCTAAAATGAAAAACTACCACAGCGTTAGAATATACCAGATGAGATTGGAGCCTGACTGTTAGTTAAATAGCTAAAATAACTCATATATATATATATATGTGCTCGGCTAAAAACACTAGTGCTATTTATATTTAGAAACCGTTTGAAACTCATCCTCCCTTCTGTTATTGCTCCCATTCAAGTCAGCCATGTTCCTGGCAGGAAAATAACTGACAACATCATCACTGCTCAAGTGGTGATTCCCTCCACGCATATTAAAAAGGGGGAAAAAAAGATTGGATGACCATCAAAATTGATCTAGAGAAGGCATATGACCGACTCCAATGGGATTTTATACTAGATACCTTGATGGATGTGGGAATTCCTCATCATCTGTG